TATTTGGCTTCGGCCACTTAGGCTTCCATGCTTACCAACAGAAAGGCGCGTTTGTTCTCCTTTTCATTAATGGTAGTGACACTAATTTTAATCATGAAATGTAATTAATAGAATGTAAAACTGGTGAAACATGAGCGAGGAAGACATTTTGTTTCTATGAAAATTAAGTTGGATATTTTAGAAAGATTTAACGATAAGTCACTTAAGAAAAACTGGTATTGAATTAGGTTTATGGGCAAGACAATTATAAATTGGGAAAAAGATAATTTTCACAAATGTCTAAGTTCTTCCACTTTTTTTTTCTTTTAAGCTTATTTATTTAAATAAATAAATAAAAGAAGACCCCCCACACACACCCCAACAACAGGGTTTTATGCCACTATCACTCCCAACTGGCCTAGGTCATGGACATATGCATGTGCCCAGTATGTACAGAGACCTGGGGACATGGATCTGGGTCCCTCCCACGTTGGTCCAGCGTTATAGAGTGTTGTGTTATAGCCACACCACTGCAGCTTGCAGCCACACTATTGAATGTATAAAAGAAATTGAACTAAAATAAAATAAATACCAAAAAAAATCCCAAAACCAATAAAAGAAAAAAAAAAGCTAGAGGTTCCAACTGGTGAATTATGGATGGATTTATACATGAAAGACAATGCGGACTCCATTTAGTGGACTCACACTCAAAGAAGGGTGTTGGCTCTACCTCTATGGAAAAAGACAGATTTTGGAAGTAAGTCATATCCATCACATATTAAGTACAAGAAAGGGGAAGTTATACTTTATACAAGTGAGTACTCCAAACTTTACATAATAATTATAGGCATTAGTTGATGTCTATAATTACTAAAAACCTGATGGTTTCATTGGAGCATTTAAAAATGAAACAAAACAAAGAAAGAACTACTTTATCTGACTTCAACACTGTATCCAGGACTACCATTTTTGAGTCCAGCATATCAGCAAACACTACCACTTTTAAAACTATGTGCTCATTTTTACCCATGTATTATTGCTAATGAATTATTTGAATTAGTCACACATTTTTATGAACTTCTACCTTTGGTAAAAAAGAAAATCCTTTGAAGAAAAATAAATGTAGCAGAATGTGCTATGCTTCAAGATAACACTCCTTTATAACCCAGTTGGGGGAATTAAAAAAAGAGAACATAAAAACTATATCTTTCTCATTTCATAGCTCACAATACCCATTATTAATATTGCTTCCCAAACATAAATCATCTTCATTCACCGACTAATATTTATTTATCCAACATATTCACTGAGCACTTAATATGTGTTTAGCGCAAGCAACACCGGGAGCTTTGAGAGGCAAGGCGATTAATTTAGATCTTGATCCTTTTGCCAAGTGCTTCTACTCCAGTAAACGGTATTTCATAAGGTTCAACATAATGGATGCTTTTTATTTCTCCACTATTGAGAACTCTTCTAAGTCCAATACTACATTTTATTTAGAATGTTGAATAGTCAGTGGCTGGCACATACATGACACTCAGTAAGTCTAAGTGTAATAGAGCCATGAAACACATTTTTCTTGGCAGGTGCTTTTAGCCTCTTAAATTCATTTTTAAAATGCCTATTGTAGCTATAGCAGTATTCAGAGTTTAATTGCGCTGATTTCCTTTCCCTAGTTATGTGTACCCAAATAATCTAATTTCAAAAAGAGAGCTTAATGCTGAAAATAGAATGACAACAATCATGAAAAAATCAACAAAGTGAAATGATATGTTCTGAGAAACAGCATTGTCTCAGGAGCCAAGAAATAGATTGAGATGGAAGGTCGGTGCTTCTCATAGGTTGTGTATCCTTGGGCACTTCCTTTGACCTCTTGAGGGCTTCTAGCTTTT